CGGTCACCTCTTGAGGATTCCTGATGATTTTGTCACCCTCCTTTAATGTTATTCGGCTTTTCTCTACATTCTTTCGGGAATTAACATAAGGCTTGATGGCACGCCAAAACTTCTTTTGATCTGCATATTTGTCCGAACACAGCTTCTCAAAATGTCTACGTATAGATTTTCTTCTCATGCTAACTACTTTGTTGCCCACTATACGGTAGCTCTCCCAATCACACTGATTACGTGATCTATTAAATTTTTTCTTAAGCCGTTTTCGTTCCACCATTTCTCTCCGAATTTCAGGAGTGATAAACTTCGATTCTACTGAAGATCGTCGTTTGAAAGATCGCATTGGTGCGTGGTCATCTAACACCTGGTTATATAACGTCTCCCAGCACCAGTAAACATCGTCTATATAATCAAAAACGTATGCAGCATGGAAAGGAACTCGACTGAGATCTTTCTGAAAATCGTCTCGGTTAAAGGTCTTGAATATCCGTTTCTTGACGACTTCGGCGTTAGCATGTAACATTTTAGTTTTAAGAACCGTGTAAACTAGCAGATGATCACTGATTCCTGTTTCGATAGCGCCAGACGATTTCATAAACATGGGCACATTTGAAAGAATGACGTCCAGGCAAGAAGCTCTAGTTGTTGAAATTCTTGTCGGTTCTTTAATTAATGTGTTGAGGTCATAGATATCGCAAATATCCAAAAGGCGTTTGCCCTGGTTATTATTCATAAACGGATGAATTATGTCACAATTTAGATCACCAAGACCAATCACGTTTTCGCAGAGAGATATCGCTTGATCCAGGACTGTAGTCAATTCAGTTCTGAAAGTAGCATTGTTAACAGAAGGAGGCTTGTAGGCACTGACTAAAGCAAAGCGTCTTTGTCCGATGTGTAGATCGAATAAGAGTGATTCCAATGATGTTGTAATGCCTTTCTTACATGTTGCGGCGATGTTATCGCGAATAAAGACGGCAAGACCGCCACCACCTTTCGTCCTGTCACGGCGAAATAACTTGTACCCGTTGACATAAAATTGAGAGTTAGGAAAGGACCGATCGATCTTAGTTTCCTGTATGGATAGAATGTCGAAGGCTCTGTTCGTTAGCCACTCCTTGATCTCCTCAAATTTGCTTGGTAAACTGTTTACATTTAGGTTTGCTATAATGCATTCCTTGCGATTTTCGTTTCTAATTAACTTCATGTCCGAAGGTTGTGAACTAAGGTCCAGCTCAGTGTCGCTCGCGCTTTCATGCGTGGAACTATTCAAGGTGGAAAAGAATGAACCGCTAAACTTCGGCAAGGCATAGAAAGAGCATATCCAGCCGACAGATGGATTATTAAGATAGTACTGAAAGGTCCAGTTCGACATATTCAGACATCTTGCATGCGACCAGGTGTTGCGCTCAGAACATAAAATGGCGTCTTGATTGCTTCTTACGGATTTAGAACATTCACCACAAGGATATTTCGTAGGCTTCCTTCTCGGACCAGGGTTAGGTGAAACATCTCCAGAAATCAACAATCTTTGCGCTTGAAATGTACCTACACCAGTAGCAGTGTATAATAATCTTCCTCCATTAAAACGCCTCGATGCGAGCTTGAAAGGTAGTTTGTAGTAAGCACTTGACGTTGTTAAGTGGAGTGAAATAACCAGTCGCGTACAGCGTTCGGGATGCATAAAACTGCAGTTTGATGACTCACGAAATTCTCGTAGAAGTACGACAAGGAATAAAAGACACAATAATGTGCCGCCCATACGGACGTGTCTGACCGCCATGATGGCCTGGTTGACACTCACCAATATAATCAGTCAATATATTCAAAAACAACATTTGACACCACAAGAATCACCTTGAAATCAATTTTTGCGGAAAAAAACCAAAGTGATTTGAGAGAGGGAGAGAGGTGGAGAGAGAGAGACAAAGAGAGGAGAGAATTGATAAGTTATTTATCGGTTAAAGGTCGTGACCGAAGTCTCTGCTCATTAATGCTGCCCAGCTAGCAAAACAACATGAATAATTACAACGAAGCGAAAGACGTTCTGCAAAGCGACTCAACACTAAGCGGATATCGCCCGCTCTCAGCTGAGAGCGCACCGGATGGGAGAGTAGTGCCTGCTCTCGGAATCAATTAAATCGCAGGATTTGTAGAATACCGCCTGCTCACGGACTGAGAAAAAATAATGAGTATCATCTCGAAGGTTCGTCCCTTTAAAATATATTTGTGCACCTGCTGAGTATAGTGAGTAAACTTATCGTCACATCCACAGCTCACTTCCTCACCTTGGCTTCCTCGATAGCTTTTTGTGGAAGACGAATTCTGGGAAAAGCATACAAGGCACCAATTACTTCATTACACGTCACTCCTTCTAAAGAATTCAACATTGCAGTGGTAATTTTCGCTTTCCTTTGGTAAGACTCCAAAATGGCCGTCTTCTCCTACAAAACAAAAGTAAAAATATACTGAAGTCTT